AACAGTGGCTGGGATCTGCTATAACACCACCTTACTGCAAGTGGCGCGGGGCTCTACACACCTCACTGATGGTGTGAGACTGGAACTGGGCTGTTATCACTGCTGTAGCGCAGTATCTACTTTCCTCGCCATTTGTGCTTGTGTTGTCATGTATAATGCACACCCGCCATGACGTGCTTTGCACTTCTCTACGCGCGCTGTCACTATGTACCGCGCTTTGCTTGCTTGCCTCCTTCTTTTATACTGCTGTTCTTTCCATGTCCACTTCATTCCTGATGATGGTCATAAAGACCGAAACGTTGTAACGATACCAATGGATTTGTGTGAAATGCAGTGCTCTCTTGAGTGTAGGCAGGTTGCCTGCAAACAATTCAAGTATAATGAAGCTGCGTGAAGCGTCCTTCAAGATTTTGAAACTTCCCCTTTAATCGATAAATACACCCATCCCTAGAAATACACCTCAAACAGCCTTATCACTCCAAAAACACCCCTGCTGACAGCTCTAGCACATCTTGGATGCACACTCCAACAGCCTTCCAACTTGGAAGGTTCTAAGTTATAGAAATAACATAAGGAGGGGAAGGTGAGCGCAACCAAAATAAGCACAAGCTGAAAGTCTCAGCTGTGAAGGACGTTGGCGGATGTTCATGCATGACCTGTTAGCCAGTTATTTGTAGAACGTCAGTATCGTCGGTCCGTGTCGTGCAATGTTATCGCATGAGCTGATTGTTTAGTAATTGGTGGTGTTAGTGAACAGTATAGCGTAACTTGTAGTTCCTTGGTCCTTTTTCTTTTGTATAAATTAATCCTTGGCTCACCATCCGAGAACGTTTTCTTGTCACTATTCTCAATGGAATTGGTGACTAAAGAGAATGATGAAACTACAATAGGATTTATACTTGGAGTGAAAAAATGGGGATACAAGAATAAGAAAAGTTTGCTCCCCACACCGGAGCTCGCGCTATTCCGCCGACTTTACTTGACACTTGGAATAGCGCGAGCTCCGGTGTGGGGAGCAAATTTTTCTTACAAATCATCGCCGAAGTCGCAACCACTACTTTGATACAAGAATAGTAAGAAAAATAGCACACACTTCGGAAAAACATACGAGAGAGCTTGGAAGCTCAGGGCCCTACGCTATGCTTTTTCGCCTAGCTCATCATGTATGTTATTAGAACTGATGGAACTGTTGTTTTCCATTGATTGGCTACACCATTGTATTGCAAAAACGTTTAAATCAGTTTGAATATGAGTTAGGCTCACGTGACACAAAGGGCATCATAGTGCGAGCGTGACTCATAGTCATAGTCATAGCTCAGTCATACAGCACAGCGCAGTTGTATAAGCGCATAATCGCGGGTACAAAGGGTTTTCAAAAATACGAATAAATTATCATGAGAGCAGCTCAAGCAACTACACGTTCGAAGCGGAACAAAATAGAAGAGAGACGGAGAAGCAGAGAAGAACCTGATTAGACAGAAGGAGAGAATTATCAGTATCAGTAAAACAATAGCATGGACACTCGTGATACATGTAACAGAATCGACGACATGGCCGTAGACTAGAGCATCTCCGCATGCGCGTTCGCACCAACGTGACTCGCAGGAAAATAATAATAAAATAATAAGAAATAGATAAACAAACAAGGTACTTAAGAGAGCATGTCTGAGAAAACCAGAACATATGTGCAAGTCGATCTCTCAGATTTCGCTAAAATTTTGCAGGTAGGTTTGCTTTGGGGTGTAGATCAACATTCCAAAGTTCGCGCAAAAACATTTGAAGGGAACCATGAAATTGGTATACCCCTCAATATTGGCCCAATATTGGCACGATGTATAGGTCTACAAACGAGCCACGTCACAGCGTACAAGAACAAGCTAGTAACAAAACTCCATCAAACCAACATTACCTCACCTTAGAAGAGTTCTTGGGGCAGCACCACTTAGCCACGCCAGCATCCCAGAAGACGAGGGCAATCATCCCTTGACGCGTATGACATGTACGCCATTCGCTTCGACTGCAGAGAGAGAGAGACACTTCCGATTTCTCCATAGTGCTCCTATAACCTGTCGAGACGTTTTACAGATATGCGTAACGTGGCTATTCCAAGTCAGGCGATCGTCTACAATCAAGCCTAGGTACTTGGTCTGCGACACAACAGGGAGCACAGCGCCATCGCATATCACAGGCGGCAAGGGATCAAGGGTGCTCCGAGGAGCAATGTGCAGCACACAGGTCTTGGTGGCATTGAGCCAGACGGCGAGACGCGTACATGCGACACTAAGCTTAGAGCTGATGTCTGCACGGCTGGATGATGATGTATCTAAGGTGATATCATCGGCGAATTCTTGGTGACAAATACCAGGCGGTAGATGAGAGTCGATGGAACTGATGTAAACAGAAAAAAGAAACGGGCCGAGAACGCTACCTTGCGGTACACCACTTGAACACTCCGAGTAGCATGACGATGAAGAACCAACTTTAACGCGTTGTTTCCGACCCGACAAATAGCTGGCAAACCAGGCCAGAGCAGTGCCACGTACACCCTTTCCGTGAAGATCATCTAACAGCGTTTGGTGGCGAACCTTATCAAACGCTTTTGACATATCGACAAACACAATACCAGTGGACTGTTTCCAGGCCCTGGCTGTGCTCCATCGATGTACGGCCAGTGTCAGCGCGTCCTCCGTGGAATGATGGCGACGGTAGGCAAACTGAGTTTCCGGAAGAAAATTCTCGGACTCGAAGTATCGAACAACTTCACGGTGGATTGCACGTTCTAGGAGGCGTGATACAGTAGGAAGGAGACTTATTGGTCGATAGTTGGTCGGTAGTTCAGGATCACCGCCTTTGAAAAGTGGCGTGGCATTGGCCTGCTTAAACATTGCTGGGACTTTACAAAAAGAAAGGAAACATTAAAGATGCGGGTCAATGACGGTGCAAGCATGGAAGAGCACTTCTTCAGGACCAGGTTTGGTATGTCGTCATGTCCAGTTGCCTTGTGCTGGTCGACCCGAGAAAGCATCCGCTCAACAGAGTGGATGGTTAGGGGCGTGAAGCGGGCAAAGTGGGACTCCTGTACCGGTGTGGTGGCATGTGAATTCGAGTTTGAAGGTCGCTGGGGATCATAGAGAACGCTCGAAAACGAATCTTGCAGATCCTGAACAGGGATGCCGGGAGCATGATGAATAACACGGCGACCGGTTACCGTATTCAGTGTGCGTCACAAGCCTCGGGTATCAGCCGCGTGTAATCCACATTGATCGCGAAAGTACTGGCTTCTTAGTTTCCGGTCCAAGCGACAACAAATGGAGCGTTGATCTTGATGTTTCTTGCGAAGCTCAGCATCCGCCGGATTACGCTTCAGACTTTGATGGAATCTGTTTCGTGCTCGAACTGCCTGCTGGAGTTCTGGAGTAAGCCAAGGGCAAGGGAGTCGCCGCCGTTTGGAAAGCGTCTCCGGGGCATGGAGGTCGAGGACTGCCTTCAGCTTCGTGTACCACTCTTCCACCATCGAGTCGCAATCACTCGTGTTGCATGTAAAACTGTTAATGCCGAAGGCCTGAAGATCGGAACTGAACTACGTCCAATCTATTCTTTGAAGGTGCCTTGACATTTTTGGATTTGGGGCCGAAGAGAGAACTGCTGGCTTGAGATGACTTAAGACAGCAGCATGATCGCTAACATCGATCGCAATGACTTCACAGGACACTACCTTGTCGGGAGGAGAAAATGACTAAATCCAACGCCGTGGCGGAGTGGGACGTGACTCTAGTTGGAGCAGTTATCATGTTGGTAAGATTATAACTGTCCAATGCTTGCTGGAATGACCGTAGGGTGGGTGAGTGACCCAGCATGTCGACGTTGAAGTCGCCCATGACAATGAATCTATCCTCCACTTGAAAGGTCATGCTCTCTATGGTGTCCTCGAAGGCTCTCCAGAAGTCCGCCGTTGCAGAAGGTGGGCGATACATGCAGTTTAAAAGCACCCGATCTTTGCGTGTGGTGCGTAGGGCTTTACATATGTTTTCTATGTCGGTATGTTCGGCTTCTCTGTGGCGACTGACTATGAGGCTCTCCTTGTGGTAAAACGCAACACCACCACCCATGCCGGTTGATCGATCGTGCCTTAGAAGTGAATAGCCAGGTATATGTAGCTCTCCGTCGCTAATTGTCTCATTGAGCCAGGTTTCAGCGATACCAAGGACAGCAATATTCCGCGTCTCCAAGAAGCTGCGGATTTTGCGCGTTTTACGGCATAAGCTACAGATGTTAATGAACGCTGCAGTGATGCATCCAGAGACTCGGGTGTGTTGCACGGGGCTCTGCGGGTAAGTAGGGATTTGATGCCTAGTACTGAAAGGAGCAGAATTTATGTGAGAGGGAGTGAAAGGCTGTGCTTGCGGATTTAACACTGACATCATAAAAAGGAGAAGAAAGTAAAACGAACCTTTAAGAAAATACTTGTGGGCACTGTTACGAAAGACAGACCAGGGCAGAGAACATACATAGTTGCACCTGTAAAAGGACATTGGAATATGCAATGAATTTGTGCCACACAACTGTTCATGCACTGGATTTCCTGGAGCGCTGTGCTGCAACTTTGGCTGCATGCTTGGCCAATTCTCGCCTGCTGGCCTCATTCGCCCATTCCACCTGTGGGTCCTGCTGCTCAGAACTATTTCCCAGGGGCAATGCAGATGGCTTGAATGCGTGATGGCCAAAGGCAACTTTGTACTCCTGCGAGTCCTCATCTGGAGAGTGACCTGATTTCCCTCGGAAATGCTGCATGGGTGTTGTTGATACTGTGATGGTGTGTTGAATCATTCAGGAGGCTGTCTTGAAACATGTGTGAACAGGCGAGTGGTGACAACACAGTGATTTATGGGTCCGGTCGCTGAGCGCAGGGATGCGACAAATGCATTTCCATATTCTGAGTTTCGGAGAAACAACTGGACATCATGCACATAGATTGCACAGCATTTTATCAGCTTCCTTACGTATGCATCTACCAGTCCACTGCCATTTTCCAGCTTGAGATCCACCTCCATTGATATCACAGTTGGCATTCTGTGACGAGAGCGTTTTGAATGCACCATAGGTGCATGTTACTTCACCAGTGGCGTCAGCGATCTCCTGAACGTTTCCAAGATCAGCGTGCGAGCAACCTGCATTCAAACAAATATTCAAAATCACAAACATGAAAGCACTGATAACCATGGAAACAAGAAACAAAACAACAACCAGTGAAAAGTATCAACACCAAATTTCACTTCAAGTGCGATTTTCTCAAAATCATGTGCCGCGGGATAAGGTCCCTTTTCACTTGCGCTGGCTCCAATGATAATAACAAGGACAATGAGAGAAGCAACAGCGATAGTGCAGCACCAATCACATCAATAGGAACAAACAGCAGAGCGCAGCTGCAAAAGATAGAACAGAAACTTGCCCAGCAGCAAAAGCAACACCAATTTCATTGTTGTGTTCATCACAATCGCTGCCACTGCTAACATCGCCGCCACAACTGTTATAGACTTCAATCACCTCGCTGCAATGTCAACATGGCTGCGCATTGCTCTCGTTGGACATTATCTTGCTGCATGCTTCGTATTATTTGTTGCCGGCTTACGCATGTCCGCAGTGCATTCCATCTTGGTATGGGTAGCTTAGCTGTCAGTCACTCATTGTTTCCAACACGGTTACTCTGTTTCCAACACTGTTACTCACAGTCGAGTTGTCTTGGACTGCTCTAACTTCGTACCTGTGTTACGTATGTGTTTGGGCATCCCCATCACTTTGATCGATGAGGTGACTCGGGCGTTCCTTCGTTTCTGTTTTCAAGTTCCCGCTTTTTCCTTCTATTCATGTTTTGTGTCGAGTGTTCTAGTGCTACGCGCGCATGCCCCACTGTTACCTACTAATTACATTCATGGTGAGAAATGCTTCAGAGACTGCCGTTGATGGCCCGCGTGGCCATCTTGCTGTGATAGTCCTGTTTCGTCTTTGTGTTTTGGCCTGCGGGTCTCTCCATGTCAGGCGAAATAGCACGTCACAGTACATTTGAGACCAGCGGGAAGAAGATGACGACGTCCACTAATTTAGTATCTGTGAACACGAATGTGTTGTGTGTGTGACTTTGTATGTCAGCTATGACATCAAACCCTGTGGTGCCATGCCTAACATGTAGGTGGTAACCATCCTGCAAAGTTTGAATGCTGTAGGTTGTTGAACGATCGTGCGGGCAACCATACATTCTGACATTCTCTTCGTAGTATACCTTCTACCATTGAAATTCAATTTTCTTGCTAAGAGGGGTAGCTTGCAACCTCGATATGGCTTGTTCCAGGCATGCCTTGAAGTGAAACCCTGTTGAAGTAGTGGCAGGGATCTACCCTGCAATTGCCACAACAATAAAAATGATTCGATTTGAGAAAGCGCGAGATGACAAAGCTGGGTTGAATATGGAGTATTTAAAGCCTTTTTAAACGAAGATGGAGTTCTTTTTGGAGATAGACGTCGCGGCAAAGGATATGGTTTCCAACTTCTGGCGTCTGGTGAAGCCATGGATCATTTGTCCAGTCATGTCGGCAGCCTAACCGTCGGTAAGCTTGTGAGTAGGATCTTGTTCCGCTCGATGTGGCAGATCACAAACAAATTTGATATCGCACAAATTGAAATGTGCATTGTGCGTACGGTATTTAAAATACTCAGAAAATCGCAAAGTGTCTCTGTGTGGCTGTCCTACGTCATGAGAAACTCCAATCAGGCTCCTATGTCCTCTGTCTTCTTGATTGAATGTTGTTATGTCTTGCATTACGCATAATATAATTATATACTTCGAGTAGTAATATCACTACCCCATGATTTGTAGTTTTTGCTCTGTTCTTCCTCTTATCGCATGCTCAAATAATATCCATGGTCTTTTCCTTGAGTAAGAAACGTGTACAAGTGCAAGATTACCTTGTCTGTCCAAATGTCCGATACTGAATAAGCGTTATTTTGAGAAACTGGGAGGTGTAGTTTCAAACCTTTGCAAACCCACTACAGGTAGACTCCCTCTAATTCGAATACGGTATAATTCGAACATTCCGTGTAATTCGAACTTTTTCGTCGTACCGATCTTCTGCAAGTCACTTCAAGTCAAAATCGAATGCATAATTCGAAGTACGAAAAGTGCACCGGTTGGATAATTCGAACCCAGTCTTCGTACAGAAGAGCTGTTTACAGTACATTGGCTATGTCCTTTGAACGCTTATTTCGAAGTGAGATTGAGTTGCAATCCTTGTAATTCGAAGTTCATTCTTTTCTCCTTCTCTAGCCAAGAGTAGCTCAAAAATCGATCGATGGACCGCTGCAGGATCGACTATAGCGTTCAAGAAACCCACCTTCTCTCGAAATTTGATTCAAGCCCGTGCGAGGCAAATTGCAAAGGTTTGATTGAAGACGACTTCTTCCTGGTGGCTGACTCTCTTCGCGGATCTCGATGGCCTTTCTTACCGCGCCAGCTCGTGCGCGGAGATGTTGGCGCACAACAACACTATTGTCGTAAATATTGTCTATGCCTTTGCTCCACTTCCGTTCTTCAGAACGACGTGCTGCTGTCCAACGGCCTTTCATGACGCCGATTAGGCAGCGCAGTTCTTTTCCGTTGAAATTGTTTCAGGAAAGCTGCAGTGACTGACAACTTCTTCACTAGAAGATGTCAAAATGGTTTTGTGTCGATCCAGTGTTTTGATGATCCGTTGTACATGACCCGTACCTATGTTTCGTTGATGCAAATAAAAATGTGCAAAAAATATTCAGCAAGCGATTTCAAGCATTTTGACATACATATCAGTGCATGGGGCTGCATTTGGATAATTAGAAGTTCTGGATAATTCGAAGTCAGGGCCTGGCAATTTGAGGTTCGAATTAAAGGGAGGCTACCTGTATTCGTCTAAAGGGTTTCTCTGACAAAACCATCACATGTCTGGGCGGAACCGAAATGAAGGTTACAATGCAGAGTACTAATGTGGTAGATTTGGTGTCACGTGTTTGTTTCGTCTTGGTCGCTGTGGACACGCGTCATTGGTTGGTGGTGTTGTGCGCATGCGCGAAACTGTGTGAGCTAGTCTTTGGTCTGTCGTCTTGTCAAGATGTAGTCGTTTTCCGTGTTCTTGTTTATTCGTCAATAAAAAGAGTGTAAAAAGGCAGTCCAGTGGTGGCGGTTGAGCTGATGCAGTGATGGAGAAGTAATGTTAGACGATGTTTCGTACCAGGTCCTACTCAGAATGGTTGATAATGCCGGACCATCTCTCCTAGAGAGAGAGAGAGAGAGAGATACTGGAGCGTTTCAAGCTCCCATGGAAAGAAGTGTTTGCGGTCAAATCAGAAATTGATCAGGCCATTGAAAAAGCTGAGTTGCGCGAGGAAATCATTTCACAGTTTCCAGAGCTTTGACTCTTCTTCTCTAGGCAGATTGAATATGTTTAAAGGGGAAGTTAAGGCAAAAATCAAAATTTCACCAGTTGTAGTTTTCGGGGTGCTGAGTCGAATGGTCTTGGTCCGAGAAAGCTGAGACGCTTCCTTCCTACTTGAATCCCAATCGAACTCGCGCACTTCCACCGAAACTGGGTGACTGCGCCCTACTAGATGGGGGTTTGCATGCAAAATGTCACTAAAAGCGCCATTTCGTTCTTATAAAAGCACGGATGACCGCGATTGGCCCATATGTTGTAGTCTTTTGGACGCTGAGTCGACTGGTTTTGGTCCGAAAAGGCTGCGATGCAGCGTTCGCCCCTAATTCCCAATCGAACATGGTTGAACAAGCGGTCACGTGCTCCTGCGTACACCAGTCACCTGGTCACCGTGCCTGCAGGGTACAACTTACAGCCTGTTTTGACCTTTTTTGGGTGCAGTCCTGTCACTCGAGTTGAACCTTGGTGTGAAAGTTGTCACCTGCTGGCGTGGTGACCAGGTGATGTGGGCACCCAGGAGCACGTGACCGCTTCTTCAACCCTGTTGGATTGGGAATAAAGGAGGAACGCTGCATCGCAGCCTTTTCGGACCAAAACCAGTCGACTCAGCGTCCAAAAGACAACAACATATGGGCCAATCGCGGTCATCCGTGCTTTTATAAGAACGAAATGGCGCTTTTAGTGGCATTTTGCATACAAATCCCCATCTAGTAGGGCGCAGTCACCCAGTTTCGGTGGAAGTGCGCGAGTTCGATTGGGATTCAAGTAGGAAGGGAGCGTCTCAGCTTTCTCGGACCAAGACCATTCGACTCAGCACCCCGAAGACTACAACTGGTGAAATTTTGATTTTTGCCTTAACTTCCCCTTTAAAGTTTCGCTTTTTATTTTTTTAATGAGCGTTAGCATGCTAACGAGAGTTAGCAGCCAGCCCAGCGAGCTGGCCCAACTTGCACGCATGCGCGAGTCACGTGGCCACGCGCCCTTTTAAAGGGGAACTCCACGAAAAAATGAAAATTTGATAGCCTGTAGAGTTTCGGGTGCTGAGTCGAATGGTCTTGGTCCGAAGTCTCTACGAGAAAGCGTTCTTGAGATATTTCAATTTTAGCCACGCCCCCATACCAATGTATGTGTGACGTCATTGTGGCATGGTGCGAAAATACTTGGATTTTGAATCTCACTTTCTTCAGGACGAAAGTCACTTCAGAAAGTAGTTTGCCAAGTCGCCTGAGCCGCTGCGATGCCAAATTGTTGTGTTGTTGGTTGTGCCAGTATCACATCATCTTCCTGGGGTTAGTTTTCTCAGATTCCCAAAGGATGGAGACCTGGCAAAGCGTCGAGATGTTGCAATGCGTCGTGAAAATTTCAAGCCTATTTTCGCAGCACGAGCTCTGTTTGCTCGCTGCATTTATGATCCAGAGGGACTTGAGAGCTGAGTTTTGACGAGTACGACGTCCAGGAAAGCGCTCATCAGTGTACCAGTGCTCTCTGAACCGTGAGCCTCCAGCAAAGCGAACTCAACAAGCTGCAACTGAGAAAGCAGGGCGAGATACGTTCCATCAGGATCAGAAAAGTACATCACCCCATCAACTCCGACTGCAGCTAGCTGATGAACGATATTACCCCAGTAACTTTGCGTATACCAGTACTCAAAATGTGCACATCTGTCATCAACTGGGACGCAAACAGACAGACCCCCAGCAAGTACGAAGATT